TCAGCAGTTGATAAACTCCCCTGATCTTAACAAGTAGCCCAGAATGCACTCACTGGCCTCAGGTGACCCAGAACAAGTAACTAATTGGTTCTTCCATTCTTATGCAATTCCCTCCAGGAGAATTAATAAGGAAAAGTGTATTAGTATGTCTAGAAAAATGTAATTTCTTTATATTATACAATGAATGATATAAAGATAATACATCCCTTTATTTTGGTAAATCTACAGACCACAAAATAGTATGAGCTGTCATTCCAAGAGTGCTTTAATGGTATGACAGAGCGCATGGCAGGACTTCGTGGAGAAATAAATTTTCATCTGGGGTTTCACATCCAGGTGCAAAACACCTGCTACCTTCATGACTTCTCAACCTGAAGTCACTTCAGAGATGTAAAAACAGAAAGATGAAGCAGGCAAACACATCCTTCCAGAGGTCATCGGGCACACCTATATCCATTAAGCTGGGTATGTTACAGACACGGTAGAGCAGAATCATGGGCATCTTAGGTATTGGTGGAAAGTCAACATGAGTTGGTTGGATAATCTAGGGTGAGGAGTTGTCTAGGAAAGCATAAGGTTTTTCTAATCCAGACTGTATTCTACAAAAGGTGGAAACAATTCTATGCTGAGTAGTTCAATATTTATTGCCTAGATAAGGAGGAAAATCTAACAAGAATAAAGCTGAAATTTGTCAGGAATTATTAGGCACTATTTTGTAGTCATTTCCTCCAAATTGAGAGAAGTTCCTGCAACTTACAAGGCTCAGCAAACCCAGAAAGTTCTAAGATTTACAGAGCAGTATGTACACATAAGCAGTAACAGTTGCAAGGGAGAGGGAGACTGTCTACCCACCAAGCTTCCGGCAAGTTGGGCAAGAAGAGCAAGGGATAAAGTTTTAATAAGCTGTCATCCATGTAGAATGGGCTTTTCAGTGATGCAGGTGCCTCTGAATCACACTCTTGTAAATACCCCTTTTCCCATGTTCCTGTAGTAACTCCAAAGATTTCACTAGCTCACTAAGCTAGACTTGCATGGAATCACTTGGTCTATGGTCAATGCCCTACTGGGGTAAACATGGATTCGGGTCATCCCAGGAAAAGTCAAACAACAGTTGTTCCTAAGTATTAATCATGACAAAGAACAAGAAAGGGTCACCCCTAGACAGCTTTTGGTCACATTGGGAAAGAATGTGTCAACTCTTTGTACAGGAGGCCTTGCTGATTTCAGAGCTCACTAAATATTTTTGCCTTTAGCCATGTCTGTATCTAGACCACACTGAGACCTTGGCTCTGTAGACATCATTCAAAGTGTTTTCCTCTTCACTCCAATAAGAGAGAAAAGGGCTCCCCTGTGATCATTTCACAGAGCCACCTCCACTAAGACTCCACCTGTTCCCATCACATTTCTGATGTCCAGTGAGGAAATCAGCTAAGTAACACCGCTTGCTTCAAACTGTTTGTGGTAAAGAAACACTTTTCTCTCCCGTTTCAGATGAGCACTTTCATAAAGTACAATAAGGACTTATTCCCAGAAAAACAAGATGAAAAAGGAAGGCACAAAATACCAGTGTCGTTTTTCAAATGATTCTTGGGTTGAACATACAAATATCTGTCAAGTTGCTATGAAACTTTTACTGAGCTTCACCATCTGGACTGATCTGGTTATCAACCTCTTGAAGCACACTTTGAGCAGCACTGAGTATTTTGTTAAGCTCAAGGCTTTCTGTTAATGCAGCCTAAATCTGTCTCATGTGCTCCCCATTTCAAATTTACACAACACGGGGTAAGAGGGAAGAACTTCACAGTGGAAGGAGCCTTGCTCTGAACGCTGCAACCTCAGTGACGAGGAAATAAATGTCCTAGCTGTTCCTATGCACAAGAGCTTCAAAGGACACATGTAGAAAACCAAACTACCAAAGTTCCCACTGCACCATTCTAAAACTGACCTAATAAGAAGGAATAAGGGCTTCTCTCCCATATCAGAAGACTTAACTCTGCTCACCAGATATTTTTGCTTGGGTGTTTTTAACCAAAAGCAGTGATACTGTCTAGACCAACTTGGATTTGATTAGAATCCCAGAGTGTGCTGGGAAACTTCAGACCCCTCCAGCTTAATGCTTCAGCATCACTGTCATCGCAGTATCTCCCCTTCCCTCCTTGAATTCAAGTGGCTCAATCCGCTTATAGCAAGTCAAAGGAATAAAAAGAGCTTAGCCATCTGCCCATCAACCATACGTATTCACATTCTTCTCAATTAAAAGTCCAAGTTTCTCTAAGGTGTTATCCTCTACAGTTGTAAAATGTTAACAAATCATTCACAGCTCAATGAGACAGTCATCGTACCATCCCGCCAGTCTGTGGGTCTGCTTTCCATAACCCTGCTTGTGTTTCTGCCAGTCTGCTTTCTTCTTCCTGGCACCCAGCTGCTATGAACTGAAACCTCCAGAACAGAGTTCCATTTGAGCATGACTACACATTAAGCTCTGCATAGTGAGGCCAGACCCACCCTTCTCCTGGATCAAACTCAAGGTCTGGGCAACTTCTCTCTGCTTAGAAACTCTGTCTCATTCATAAAATCTCTCCAGAGGAGACTTCCCTTGGCTAGGATTGAAGGCAAACATGATTCATACGCACATATGAAGTATACATATGTTCAATTACTTTAGTTTCATATATGTAATATATTTTGCCAGGTAGTTTGATTTCTCAAATTCTATGGTAAACATAGCACCTTTGAGCTCCATAAGGATGCAGCAGTGATTATTTCTTTCACCATTACACAGTGCTTGGAACAGTGCTCAGTCCATAACTGGCTTCCTATAAATATTTTTAATCTGTTAATCAATGGAGCAATGAGAACTTGCAGTGTACAAACAGAATACATACACACCCTGTGCTGACATGTACGTGAAACTGACCATGAGCATGTCTTAAACAATGAGAAATCAAAGGATCTTAAGACTGTGAATTCATACTTAACATCTATTTCTTTCTATTTACAATTGGTTACTGCCCAAGATTTCTATGTTTACAAGTAGATAACATGTAAGTTACATTTTTTTGCTTTGTTTTGTTCTGTTGTTTGACACAGCTGGAACAGTTGCTCCAGCTGGCCTGAAATTTACTCTGCAGACCAGACTGGCCTCGATCTCACAGAGATCTGCCTATCTCTGCATCCCAAGTCCTGAATTAAAGGTGTGTGCCACTATGCCAGACTTACAGTTAGATTTTTAATTGCTGGATCATTCATTAAAATTATTTCTTTGCTTTTTTCTTTCCCTAAACTTACTTTCAAGTCGATTTCCAAGTTTCAAATCTTCACTGGGATAGTTCAGTTTTTTTA